TGCAGTCAGGGGTACCACACCAGGGGTGCACGCTTCCTGGCTAGCATGGAAGCTGCCCCCACTTCACACTGCCCTGGTGTCCAGAGTGGTGGCCACGTCCTCCCCGGCTCCTGGAGGGCACCAGCAGCCCCGCAGCAGCACCCCAGGGAGGGCACGGCTGAGGGATGCGCCCACCTTGAGGTGCGTGCTGGGTCTGGGCAGCAGGGCCAGCAGAGGGCGCTCTGTCTGGCCACTAACAGAACTTTGGCCACGAATGTGCCACTGGGGGCAAGTGACTCTTCAACAGGCCACGCGGTCCAGGCCAGGTGCGTTCTGGACGAAAGGTGCTCCCAGGGCCAGCCGGGGTCTACTAGCCCCCATGTGGCGATGGGGCAGCTGTCACCTGTCTGGATTTGAAAACACAGCATCCCGGGGCCCCCCACCCAAGCCCCAGGGAGGTGGCTTCCCTCTGAGGTGGGGCCTGACTCAGTCCCCTCTTGGAGGACGGTCACACTGGCCTCTGTGGGAGGGGGCTCCAGAAGGCCAGGTGGACGCCAGTACCTGGCAGTGCCCAGCCACAGGGCTCCTGGTTAGGGCCACTGGGTGGTCCTGGCTATGTCCACCTTTGAGGTGAAATGAAACTTCACACCTGGGGGCTTCCCAGAGAAATTACAAAACCCAGGTGTGAATTTCAATGACAGAGAGGAGGCAGCGAGAGTTCTGGTGAGGCAAGACTGGGCCTTCATCCCTGTTGGTCACTCAGACAGGTGGTGAGTGGACGGCTGGCCCTGCACAGGCCACCTGGGCTGCCACCTGGTGCTGAGACACCAGCTAGCCAGATATCCCCTCCGAGTGTCTGGACCAGGGCGGAGGAGGCCACGTGGTCGAAAGTAGCATGGGGGCCTCAGGCACCAGAAGGGCAGAGAGGTGACAGGCGGGCAGACAGGCTGGCGGGAAGGCCGCGTCCAGTCCAGCCCAGGGCAGGCTTCTGGAGGCCTCTCTCGTGTCTCCTCGTGCTCTGTCTGGGTTGAGGGGCACGGCTGGTCCTCACCACGCGCTGGGAGGTGACCGGACCTCAGAGGGCAGGGCCTGCCGTCGGGAGGCCGTGGGACTTCGGTCCTGGGCGTGGCCGGGGTCACTGTCCTTGGCTGCGACGTCTGAGCCGCCCCTCGCTGCAGGTGCGGGGTCGGCCCTCCTGTTCGCTTTGCTCTTAGCCGCCATTACAGTTTTTCTTTCTTTCTAAAAGAATATTTATTTATGCCTACAGAACTGGGGCGCAGGCCAGAGATGCAGGGGGGGAGAGGATTCCCCAGAGACAGAGCAGGGCGCAGAACAGGCAGATGGACAAAGCCCACTGCTGAGGGGAGCAGCGGGCGGGCCAGGAGCGGTCTGCCGCGCCCTGTGGGTCACCCCTGGCCAGGATCGAGTCGTAGCTTTGTAGCGCTGTGCTTAACCCGCTGCGCCACCAGGGTGGACCCAGTTTTTCTTTTTCAAGTCCCACAAAGCAGCGAGGCTGCCTCGGGACGGTGTGGGCGCTGGGGGGCTCTTCCGGATCCAGGGGCCGAGCGGAGGTGCAGAGGTGCATGACCCCAGGGGTGCGTGCTGAGCAGAGGCTCAGGTGCCGGGCTGCGGGGATCTCACATCCCTGTCGTGAGAATGTGCGGTGCGTGGGGCTGGGGCATCTCCCTGTCCGGAGGAGGCAGCACTGGCAGGAGCTCCGAGGCTGCAGGACTGCCCAGCGGGAGCCAGCGGATGGCTGCTGGCTTGACTTAGGGAAGATGAGGCTGGACCCGAGGCCTCCTGGCTGCACCCTCCATGGCCAGCTGGGCCCCTGGCGCTTAGTGGGCTCCTTGCGCAGTGGGGGCAGGGTGCTCTCCCCAGCCCTGCTTTGGGGTTTCCAGGGGCCAGAGGTGCAGGGGAGGGCGCGTGTCTGCACAGCGGTGCTCTGGGCCCCACGTGAGCTGCGCCGTGAGCTACCGACCGCCAGCCTCTCGGGGCCTCTGCTCCCGGCCCCCTCCAGGCAGGCCCTGCCCGGGCCGTGGGTCTGAACCTGAGCGTCACATCTCCAGAGGGCACAGCCCAGAATGGCACCCCCTCCGGCCCGACGGGCCGCCCTCGGCTGGTCCCGGGCAGCATGCCCCTGTGGGGGCCCCGGGGAGCCGAGAGGCTGTGCTGGGCCCTGGGCAGAGCTGCCCCGGGAGGGGGTCTCGGCAGGGGGGGCCAGCGGCAGAGGCCTGGGGGCTGGTCAGACCCAAGATGCCAACACAACATGGGGGTGGGGGGCTCCGAGGGGGGCATGGGAACCCTGGCCAGGAGCCCTCCCGCGCTCCCTCCCAAGCGTGCTTGGGGGCCATCTGAAGGGAGGCCAGCACCCCAGCAGCCGCCTGATGTGTGGTGCCCCCGCCCCCCTGCACACAGGGTAGAGCGGCGGGAAGCAGCTCCCGGTGGGGTCACCTGCCAGGGTCCACGGGAGAGCGCGGGGCTGTGGGAGGGGCAGCCCGCTCAGGGGCCCCCCTTGGGGGATGCACAGCCTGACCCCGGGGTTTAGGCGGGTCGCCCCCGCCGCTAGCCCGCCCGGCGCCCGTCTCCTCCGCCAACATCCTGCTTTTGTTCTTTCTGACGTGATCGTAAACAGGCTCGACTTCCCCCTGCTGTCGACGTGCGCAGCGGCCGGACGTGCGTGCTGCTTCTCGGTGGGGCCCGTGGGGTCTCCGCACCCGCACCGGCTGCAGGCCCGAGTCGCGCCTCCTTCCCAGCCGCCTCCTGCTCCCCTGCGCCTGGGCCGCCCGTGGCCACGGGGACGCGCGGAGCATGAGCCCGGCCGGCCCCACAGGAGGCGGCTTCCGGTCACCAGCCAGCTGTGGGTTTGTAGCGACGGGTCTCCCGCGCCTGGTCATTTGCCGGTCGCAAGCCCACGGGCTGGTCGCTGGGAGGGGCGGCTTCTGCCCTGTGCAGAGCCACCGCGCGGGCGCCTCCCTCTGGGCTGAGGCCGCCTCGCCTCCCTCAGCGGGTGAGTCAGGCAGTGCCCAGCCACGCCCAGCCACTCTGGCTCCGTGGCACGCACGGTGATGCTGGCACAGCCCCCCGGCCGCCCTCCCCCCGCTACCCGGCACCTGGGTCCCCAGGACGGCCCAGGGCCCGGGACCTCCACCACAGGGAGCTGAGCCCAGGGGTGGGGTGTCCGCCTAGGGCCCCGGCAGGTGATTGTGGGGGGCGACAGAGGAGCAGGGACCTCCTTTCTGTTTCAATTGAGGTGATGCCAGTTGACGGCGAGTATGATGTCGGGGTCGGGCTCACGCCAGCAGACGTGACGCCTCGCCACGCCACCCAAGCACCGATGACCCTCCTCGCAGCTCGCTGGGCCGCTCCCTCCGTCCTGGGGACAGCTCTAATACAGGCCCCACGCATGGGGTCTGAGGGAAGGTTCGTAGCAGACACGAGAGAGCCACTGGGGCGCGCTGGTCCGTGGGGTTTCTGCCCCAGCCGGAAAGCGAACTTGCCTCCAGACTGCTCGCGGCAAGCGGGCCGCTGCAAGCGCCCTCACAGGTGGCTCCCCTCGCCGGCCCGGTGACCCAGCTTAGCCTCCAGCCCCCCCCGAAGCCAGGGGCAGCCCCGGATGGCCTCCACGGCTGGCCCCGATGACTGGCGCCTCAGGGGCTTCCCAAGTCTCCCACGACCCACCGAGGGGCAGGGCGCGGGCTCGGCCCTGTGTGCCGCACACCTGTGTCTCCGTCGGGAGCCTCACGTTTGCTGCCGGCGGGAGCGGACGCGCTTCTGTACTTGGCCCTCACGACCCCTAACTCCTGCCCAGTGTGACCTTCTGCGCCCCAGGACACAGGGTGCCCCCAACTGACCTTTACCCTGCAGCACGCTGGCAGAGCGAGCGCAGCCACTACTGCCTTCCACTGGGAGGGAGCCCAGGCGTGCACCCCCTGTCCTGCCCCCCACCCCCCGGCCGGGGCGACAGAGGTCGAGCGCCAGCTCCCTGAAGCACGCTCCCAGCAGCACCGGCTCCGAGAGCGGCAGTGACACTCCTGCGTGGGGCGTGGCGCACGGGGCCTGCCCCTCGGCCCGGGTCTCCGGGCGGCTCGGACTTCGCTGGACACACGGCCGCACGCGGGCCTGAGGCAGGAAGCCACTCGGGCGGCAGATTCCAGCCCACCTTTGAAGGCACGGCTGACCCTTGGCCAAACTCCCTGTCCTCCCAGCTGACCCCGGCGGCCTGCCCAGACCAGCCCCTCCCGAGTGCCCCCCACCAGCAGCCACCTGCCCGCCGGCAGCAGAGGTGGGCGCAGAGCAGTGCCGGGCGCCTGGGAGCCAACAAGCCCCCACTCCAGGCCCAGGGCCCCGGCGTGCAGCTGCGGCCCCGGCTCGAGAGCAGGCGGCCCAATTCAGTCTCTGCCTGCGCCTCTCCTGCCCCCTTGGTGGTGGGGGCAGAACAGCAGGGCGGCTCCCAGGAAGAGCAGCTGTTGGGGGTGCTCCCCCCAGCGCACCCCGCTGGTCTCCCGTGGGGCCCGATAGTCCTGAGGAGTCAGCAAGGCCACTGGGGAGGTGGGTCCGGGTCCCAGAAGCTGCCAGGGCACAGTGAACGCAGACATCTGACCAGCGGGGGCGCGCCATCAGGGCAGGAGGGTCGTGCCCCTCGGGCAGAGGCCCCAAGCCCGCGAAGCCACGGCCCCCACACTGCTGCTGCGATCCTGGCACTGCTCGCTGGCAGCCGGCTAGAAGGGTCCCCTGCCGCGCCGGCGCCCGGCCCGGGTGGCCCTAGCCCACGGTCTCTGCGGCAACTCACGCCCAAAGGCGCCTTCCAGGACCGCCTCTTCCTCCTCCTCGGCACCAGGAACCCTGGTCAAAGGGGCCGAGGGCCAGGACCCGCAGCAGGACCACCCAGAGACAACCACCCTCGGCTCCGCCCCGCTCCCAGAGTGGCACTGCCGGCCCTGGGTTCCCAGGCCCTGCGGGCGGGAGGCGCACAGGGCGGCCGCCTCCGGGGAGGGACGCGCAAGCAGCACCCGGCAGCGGCCAGTCTCACAGGGACATTTATTCACACCATGGAGGAGGCGGGCTGGATGGGCACAGCCATGTCTGTGTTTCTGCAGGCGCGGAGGCTCCCTCTGCCTGGCGCTGCTGCGGGCTGGTCAGTGGTGGCCGTGGGCAGGTGCGGGACCTGGAGAGGGCAGCAGCAGGTTGAGGGGGCAAGCAGAGGCCGCCTTCCCCGCGGGCACCGGCAGCAGAAGCGCCCCAGCATGGGGTTGCCAGCAGGCGGAGGGTGGCGTGCCCAGGCTGTGCCGGGGGGCGTCGCGCTCCAACTCGTCAACGGTTTCCTGTCACGCACGAAGCAAAGGGAAGCGGCGTCCAGCGCTCGGGCGGAAGCAAACTTTCCAAGACACACCAGGAGCGCGTCACTCGCCCGGCGCCTCGGCTCGTGCGGCCATCAGGGGCCCAGCGGATGAAGGGCGCAGTCTCGCGCGCACGCTGGTTCCCCACGACTATACCGAGCGCGCCGGGGAGTCTCGGCCTCCACCTTTGGATCACGGCACAGGGTGGCAGCCAAAGCCTGCCAGGTCAGGCAGTGTCACAAAACTCAGACGTACAAAAAGGGCGTCCCAGGGTCGGTCTCAGGGGTCACCGCCGAGGCCCGAGCATGGCCCCGGCCAGGGAGTGACCCCCAGGGTGCTGCAGGCCTCTCCTGTCCCTCGCTGTTCCCCCAGCGGTGTGTTTCAGTGGGTCTGCCTGTTCTGCTCCCCACTCTCTGGGGAGTCCTCTTTCACCCCCCACACCTCTGGCCTGCACCCCAGCTCTTACGTGCACAAATAACAAAAAACTTAAAAAGCGCAAAATGACGTTCGTATTGGGAGCAGGGGTGCAGGCGCAGGAGTGCCTGTGCCGGAAACGCGCCCACCTGCGCGCCCTCGCTGGAGGCAGCTGCACACCTGTCAGCACAGCCCAGCTGTCCTCAGACCCCAGCCCCTGGGTCCAGGGCAAGGACGGCCTGAGGCCGGGGCAGTTTCAGCTAGGAAGTGCAGGTCGCCTTTACTGAAAGACGTGACAAAGCATCTTCACGAGACCCCGTGAACGGCGAGGCCAAGAGAGCAAAGCTCCGCGGAGTTTCCAGGGCCAGCTGCTGGGCCTCCGCCTGCCACCTGCGCTCCCCGGAAATGTCGGGCGGCCCTGCCCGGCCCAGGTGCTGCCCAGCCGGACCTGCGAGCCCCACTCTGCAGCCCCCGCCCCCCACTGCGACTGAGAGCAGCCAGAGCCCTTCTGCAAGGCAGGCGGGGCCCTGAGGGAGTGGAGACTTACCTTTCACAGCTTTACTCCTTTTATCTAAAATACAAGAAAGGGAAGTCGGTCAGCCAGGCCTAGGAAAAAGGCCCGCAGTGCAGCCACTGTCGAACCCCACGGGGCCAAGGGCATGCAGGGGATGGGAACCCCACTCTTCCTGCTCAGACCACACCCCGCAGCTCAGGGTCTGTGCTCATTCTTCTGGCCGGCAGCTTGTCAGCCACAGCGAGACCGTTTCTGGGAGAGGCGCGGCCTCAGGGGTTAGAGGGTCTAGGCCTCCCAGCCCCGTCAACTGGCCTTTGGAGCCCGTCGCACCCCGGAGACGCACAAGCCCTGAAGCAAGGGCCTATTCACATGTCCGCACTGTCCCCAAGCATCTGTCCTGACCCTTTCAAGAACAGGCTTATTCGGAAGAGGCCAAGGAGACTCCTGCAGACACAGGCGGGCCCGGCACTCTTACAGCCGCTGGCTGCGCCCCAGAATTCAACGAGGAGGAGGCTGCGCTCACCCCCGCAGCATCTGCGCCTAACAGCATGAACCGCGACCCCTTTCGTAGCTCGTGTTTGTGATCGCTGACGAACAGAAAACACACTTACCGGCACTCCTGATTTTATAGATGATGAAGCTCATCAGCCCCATTCCCACCCAGATCTCCTGGTAAACTTGGGTGTAGTAGGGCTTCATGGGGGTCCAGACATTTTTAATGAGGCCTTGAAACATCTGGAGACAAAGGTGGTAAAATTTCAGCATTTCACGCCTCCACCCCTCAGTCTCCCGGACCTCACACTCCACAGAGAGGCCCCGGCCCCAGCCCTCCACAGCCCCCTCCCCGTCACCGGCCCCTCCCATCTCATTCAGGTCCCGGCAGTTCCTGCCGGCTACTCTTCACCCAGCTACCCCAAGTCACACATCGCTTTTCAGAACAAAACCGGCGCCCTGCGCGGCCACGGTGGCGTCGGGCAGGTCCAGATGAAGGGCCAGCCACGTGGAGCCGGCGCATGTGGCTGCGCCCCTCGGCCTGTCTCCAGGGGAGACTAAGGGCCTCGGCTGGGCCCACGCGTGGGGGCTGGCTTGTAGTCCAGGAGCTACCCGCAGAGGCCCCCAGGTCGCCGCGCTGTGCCCCAACTGCGGTGCCTACTGGGCCTGAGCAAACAGGCAAGGCCGCCAGGTCGCTTTCTAGAAGCTGCCATGGTGACAGTCCAAGGAACAGAAAGCACTAAGCTAATCACTCGACTGGAGAGGAGTCATCAAGCAGATCCTTCATGCCCAGGTTGCAGCAGAAAGCTCCGGTCTGTGCACATCAGGGGTGGTGCAGCGGATTTAAGCGCAGCACTACGAAGCTACCTGCAGCCAGTTTGATCCCCGGCCAGGGAGTGACCCAGCAGCCCGCTACTGTCTCCCGCTGCTCCCCTCAGCAGCGGATTTTAGTCCATCTGCCTGTTCTGCTCCCCACTGTCTCTGGTGAATCCTCTTATCCCCACCTCTGGTCTGTACCCCAATTCTCCTATGTATAAACAAATAAACCTTTGAAAAAAATTCCCCCCATCAAACGATTAAAGACCCTCCTTTTGAGGCTGATGTGCTCTGTGCACCAAGGTGCCCTAGTGACGCAGTTATCCACGCCGCTCCGGCAGGGACAGCCTGCCCAAGAGCTTTCTGCTTCCCCTGGAGACGCTGCTCTGGCCGGTGGCTGTGGGGGCCTCCCCAGCACTGCTCTGGTGTATCCCTGGGCCCAGCTGACTCCAGCTCAAAGCGGGATGTGGTCATTATCCAGCCCCGAGCACCGAGAGTCTGAGGTGCCCGGAGGCAGGCCCTGAGCAGCCCTACAGCTGGCCTGAGCTGCCCCAGTCTTCTCTATAGGGCAGGGTGAGGGCAGGGCCACCCCCTGGGCCTGACAGTGTGAACTGAGCCCTGCGTGCACATGCTCCCTGCCTGGCTCCCCCACTAAGCCCTTGTACAGCACACACTGCTGGGCTGTGGAAGGGATGCCCAGAGGGTCACCTGGGGCCCAGAAGGCCTTGGTGACTGGCTCAGATTTGATTCTTAAGTGTCCCACAAGCTAACAGCATTCACAAACTTCTCTGCAGGCTCATCTCCTGCAGGAGTCCTCTGACCCTGGGGGCAGTGAGCGCAGCCCGAGTCCAGCAGCTGGCTCCCAGGCAATGGACCCAGCTTTCCCCAGAGCTCTGTGGGGGCAGTATAGTCTGAGAGGCTGGGAGACCACAGGGGGTTGCAGGAGATGGCTGTGTTCCAGGAGCGCCAGTAGACACTCTGCCTTCACAGTCTCTATCCTGGGGCAAAGGGGGAGGGGCGGGGTTCCCAGCTTTAGATTGGGGAGGGGCGGGGTTCCCAGCTTTAGATTGGGAAGAAGTCAACAGTAGTACCTGGAGAAGGTGCCTGAGAAGGGGGGGGGAGCTAGAGCTGCCCCCCAGCGACCGAGCAT